TTGTTACCGACATCTGGTGAAAATTTCACGTCATTAGCTCCTCTAGTAATATATTTACTGAGAAAAATGTTGACGTGTTCAATACTTATTTTACCCGCTGTATATGGGGCGGCTGTGGTAGAGTGGTTAGGGGAGTCGTCCTGGAACCAGAAGGTTGCCGGTTCGATCCCCGTCCAGTCGGCTCAATCATTGTGTCCTTGAGCAAGACACCTTATCCGCCTTTCCTATGGATGGCGGTCAGAGGGTCTGGTGTCACCTGTGTATGGCAGCTTTGCTTCTGTCAGTGTGCCCCAGGGCAGCTGTGGCTAKAATTGTAGTTTGCCATCATCAGTGTGTGCATGGGTAAATGTCTATAGTGTGCTGGGTGGTTAGAAAGGCACWATATAAGTACAGTCCATTTACTATTTTACCATGATATTTCAGATGAACTTTGAATGGGTGGTATTAACCAACGTGGACATTTTTTAACTTTAAATCATGTCATATTGGCATTCCATCATCAAAAACATACCCAGTGTGTTGCTTTCACTCATACATGTTTGAGAAATTCTTGAATCTCCTGTGGTACCCAGGAGGAGCTGTCTAAACTGTTGCTGGTACAAAGCACCACCTATTTGTACAAAGCCCGTCCCTGGAGCTCAGTCTGCAGCAGAGCTCCTGCCCCAAAGAGCACCCCTCCCCTAAACGACTGTTTGAAAATGTGCTGAAGTGGGAGTGTCAGAAACGGTAGAAGGTTCTTTAAGAGACAGAGGCCAATTTCAAAGTGTTTGYGGGCAGCTGTGGAAGAGTGGTTAGGAGAGTCCTCCTGGAACCGGAAGGTCGCTGGTTTGATCCCCCGTCCAGCTGTCTCAATTGTTGTGTTCTTGGGCAAGACACTTCACCCCTAATGCCTCTGATGTGTGTCCCATCAGTGGATGAATATGATTGGCACTGATTAGTCTCCATAGGTGATTGTACATGTTAGCTTTGTAGAGACCTAATAAAGTGCTGTGTGAATGGGTAAATGAGGACACAGATTGTAGTGTGAAGCGCTTTGAGTGTCCTGGATGGATAGAAAAGCGCTATATAAGTACAGTCCATTTACCATTTAGGTAGGTTGATGCAAAGTCAACTTTATTTTTGATAAATACAGCATTTTCATAACAAATGAAGGGAACATACATAGTTGATTGTAGTAGAGAACTGAACTATGTGTATGGAAAATACATACACCCCTCCACCCCACCCCACCCCCCAAAAAAAATTAAAGATTATTTAGAATAATGCCAGGTATCACTGTAATAAAGTCTGAAAAAGTCAATAACTATGAATGTGTGTGATTTAGGGGAGGCACAGATGTTTAAGAACACAAAATAACATTTGTAGTTCTATTGTATTGCGTATTTTGTTTTTGTTTCTAAAAGTTTTTTTATTTTTGTTTTTGTTTTTTTTGTGAGAAGTGAGGAAAATGCTTGGTGAGAAGGGAAACTGTTTATACTCTTTGCTTTGAAATTGTTATGATATGTTATTTTGGATTCTAAGAGTTGTGTCTGCTTGTTTGTTGTTGGTCATTCTCGTTATATTTTGTTTTCTGTTGTGTATTTGTGACTTCGAAATTAAAAGATGCTGAAAAACGGACTTCTATGTTGTATTATCCACAGAGATTTTCAGTAGTTTTTTTTGTTTTTGTTTTTATTTTTTTGTTTTTTTTTTGCAGCAGAAATCAACACAACCTCTGTAGTTTTCACTGCATTTGTATAAATCATAAGTTGTTTCCAAATGCTTACGCAAAATACCTTTGAAAATATTGCTCTGGGTAATCTAGTTTCATTTTTACACTTTCCAAAGGGACTGCTTTCTGCTCAACTCAACTCAAACCTCCACAATTAGAATCCAGAGTTAAAGTCAGATTATACAGTTCTCTACATAATTTTCATGTGTGATTTTTGGTCAACCAACACTATAATCAGCCTGTAAGGAAGACTTTCTGAGCCTGAGAGCAGAAAGGAAGAATTATCCTATCAGTGTCTCACTCAACTTTCAATCAGATGGAGGATGTCAGTCACTCAGACTACATAGATTTGTTCCATGCTCACATTTGTGTGAAGGCAGAAACGCCACACTGAGATCTAGAAAGCTACATAAACTCATGTAATCATGCCGGTGTGCTTTATCAGTCAGCGGGGAATGTTTTCACACCTTATCTTGCCAAGTCTTGTAATGCTACCTTTATTTGTGGGCACCGACAAATGAGACAGGCATTTGAATTCTGAATTTCAACCCAAAAATAAAAACAAACAAACTGAATCTGTATTAAGTAAATAATAAAATCTAAAAAGAAGATAAATAATAAGTGTTGCTGGTATTTAGTGATGTATTTTGTTCATAAGGAATTTCTTTGCTCGCTTACTGTGTGTTAGCAAGATGTTTAAACAGTTCTGAACAAGCTGTTATTTTTACAGCAATGTTAGCTCAACATTTAAATTCTTTATAAAATAGTTATAAATTGAAAAAAAAACTTAACTTTTTTAGTTTGTTTAGGGTTTAACTTATAGGAGATAATTAGAGATCAAAATAATCAATGTTTTTAGCTACGTTATATTAAAAATTGTATGAATTTGATGGAGGAGAAGGGGTTGTAATTATAAAATTAATGATTATGTTTATGCCACTGGTCCATCTATCATCAGTCCATTTTCTTTACCTGTTTCTCCTTCCTGGTTCTTGGGGAGCTGGTGTCTATTCCAGCAGTTGCTGGTGCAAGAGGACGGGTAAACCGTGGGTGGGTTGCAAGTATATCACTAGGTTTTATTTGAGCCAATTGAATTGAGCCATTGAAGTCAACTTACTTCAAGAATGCTGCCGCAGCTAATCGACCTATAACTATAACTTAGCCTGTTTAATGTATATTTTGTTAACCTCTTGAGCTGGCATGTTGGCAAGTTGGCATTATTGTAGCTGAGAGGCATTCTCAATGCATACATTAGTACCAACAGTTTGCAAGAGATCTTTATTTAAAATAGCATTAACTTTTGGATTTAATCCTTTCTGTTTGCTTGCAAAATTTCTAATGAATTACTAGGAGGGTTTAAACTCAGAAATAAGTAATTGGATGTAGATTTATTATTAATATTATTATGTTTTGGAGACAACTTGATTCAGGCTGGCTTCCACAACCAGTCATTCTCAGCAAACACAAATATTACTACAGTCAGTCAATTCTGATGTGGTAGTAGCTGTGACTCATCTCTAACATGTAATCTGAGTGTTATTGTGCAAAAGTTTTTTTAACATCTGCGCGCAAGGCAGGTGATGATGTGCATTCCTTCAGGAAATACTAGTTTAAAATAATTTTTATGGTTTGATGCTGGAGGATTTCTTTGACGTTTTATTAAATAAGCATGCCTAAAGCTCAGAGTCGTAATGGAAATTTTGTGATGTGATTTAGAAATGTGTCCTCAAGATTTTTTTAAATCACAGGGCCATGAGTTTTGTATAACACAGGTGGACAAAATATTTAAAATGACTCAGTGAAAATGCAGACACCATTTTTGTTACTATAGGTTACGGGGTTTGCTGTCAGGTTTATTGATAGCAAATTTAAATCAAGACAGATTGTCCTTTTCAACTCGATAGTGAGGAAACTACTCACTTTATTGTTCAAGTCTTGCTATTAGGCATGTCAAACTCACCTTTTTTAATAACACAATCACACTAGACTTTTATGAAACTGTCTTCTTTTTTGGTCCAGCTAATATTATTACATCTCTCAGCAGCCTTGAAAACTAAATCCCCCAACATTTCTTTAAATTTAAACTCCAGCCTGAGCCCTCGCGGATTTAACACCGTATGAACTAAAATATGTTTTCAAATGTCTGTGCTGTTATTTTTAGTCTGAGCAATGGAAAAGTTGTGGAAGAATGGCTGCTAATGGAGGAGAAAGTATGTTTAATTCATGTAGCGTGGACCAATTTGAAAATAATTGGTAAGTCATTTATGGTAATGAACGGGGAACTATCTTTGAAAAGATTGTCCAGCTCTAAGAATGTGAGTCGTGATGATGAGGATGATGTTCCCCATCCTCCACTGGCTGATGTGAGAGRGTTTTAGAGAGCACTGGATTTGGATTAGAATAAGACAGCAGGAAGTCTTCAACTGTTTCCTGTGATTCCCAGGCAGCTCAGTGGAGATTTCCTCTGCAGGCAGTGACTGCTGGCAGTGTGACATTCCTAGTTTACAATTGATCTGAAGGATAAACTAAGTGCAAAAGGCTGATTTATAAATGGTAAAAGAATATGATGCACCTGTTTCAGTTGAGATAAATGTATTTTACATGTGTACAGTGCTTGTTTTACAAATCAAACATTGTGATCATTTAATTGAGTTATTTTGCTCTGGTGCACATGTGTAATCACAGCCAGGAGGTTCCTATTATGTAGGTACAGCATGTAGCCTTTGTCAAGGCCAGCTGTGCACAAATACCAAGCTGAGAGTGGCTGTTGAACTTTAGAAATGTCAGCCACTGCTCCTCACACAGAGTACTATCAGTTCATTGCTGAGTGGCCTCCCCATCCTGCTTCCCTGCTCACCTCAAAACTTTCTGCAAGTGACCCGCTGAAATCCTTTTGAAGGTGTCGCCTGCTTGTAGACAGGAGCAGCTCAGAGGATGCACGAGCTTCAAACACTAGCAGTCTTATTTTAAAGTTAACCTCAACGTCTTTGCTCCGAAGACATGCAACCTTGCAGTTCAGCCAGAGCATGAAGCAAAGGTGCAGCTGTCAGCAGCGAGCTGTACCTTCAACCCTCCTTCATAATGCAACACAACAGAGCAGACCTGTGATAAATAGTTAAACGTTTAGCTGCCTCGTCAGAATGAGCGTAAATTAAATATGGCTGTTTAGGAGCGGCTGGAGCTGTCCGTGGTGCTGGAACGTGCTAATCGGAATTAGCCGACATATCTGGCACAGTTTGCTTCGCGTTGCTTGTATATCTCTGCAGCAAATAAAGAAAAGAAGTAACTCCCAGTCTCATAAATGCCTTTCCTCTAGAGCTTCCCTTATAACACACCTCAAAGCAATTCACATCCCTGACTCTTCCCCAGAGGAGAGTCTTTCATCAAAGGGGTTTACGGTTTGTGCTGTGTTATGAGCCTTCCTGTTGTTTACATGTTGCTGTGTGGTGCACTGAGAGGCAGAAGCATGCGATTACTGTCCCAAGGCCTTTATTCAGACTGTCACTTTTATGGAATGCAAAATAGCACACATATGGCAAGTTGACATTGGAGTCTTTTATAGACTACTAGTTCAAGGCCACTAATGTGGTGGTGTAAATAAGTGTCTCTTTATGTCAATTTCAATCAGTTTATAGTGATGTAATATGTAAGATCTGGGTTCTAATTGATCTGTTTTATTTAAATCCCATTTGCCACGCTCATAAGAGCGCAATAGATGTAATAAAATAAGCATGACTGTAAGGCAATGTATTTTAAGTTGACACTGAAGCATCACCTTTTTTCTGTCTCTTTTTAACCATTCATTCACAGAGCAGTAAAAAAATCCCATTGACTCCCCAGAGACAATTACTCCTCCTTCCACAGATCAACTCTCAGCAAACTGCAGTCGTTGACTCCTGACCTTCCCTCATACCCGGCAGCAGCTCCAAATAAAATAATGTTATCTTCTGTCTCCTCTCAAATCCCTTTCCCATATTTTCTCTCATGAGACCGCCTTTCAGGGAGAGATTTTGGGCAGCACTGTAGTGCCCTCATGTGTTCGTTATAGTTTGCTTGTGAGAGGAATTGCTGTTTACCAAAAGTTAGTTGAGGGGGAAACTTTTGTGCTTGTGTTTGTGTATGAGAGTATGAATTTGAATGTGTTTGTGTCTTTCTGTGTGAGGCCTAAAGGAGAAGGAACCGGTGTGTCAACACTTGTCACTAGTAAGATTTCAAGAAGAGTCGAAGTTGCTGACTTTGATGGTGCTTGAACAATATTTCTCGTCACTCCATGTAGAAAAAGTGTACTTTTAACAAGACAGCAGGATTATCAAATATGACAGCACATCTCTCTTTTTTTCTGTTTTGCAGGAAGTCCTTTAAACCTGACTTGCCGAGCGTTTTTTGGCTACAGCGGTGACGTCAGTCCACTCATCTACTGGATGAAGGGGGAAAAGTTCATTGAGGACCTGGATGAAGAAAGAGTCCAGGAGAGCGACATCAAGTAAGAAACACACACAGCTTAGGCTCAAGCCATTTCACTGAATGCAGCCATAATGAGGAATTAATGGCAGAGCCGGATAAATTCACAACAAAGTATTAAATGACAATATCAATGGCTTTGCATGTCTTAGTTCATTAACTCTAAATTGCATTGACTAAACAGAGTCTTTTGGAGAGATTTTCCTTCTTTCTTCAAAGCAAACATCATGCAGAGACCTGAAACTTTGCGTTGGTTATGATTCATTAATTTTGTCGCTTTCTGTTTAAATTACAGTCTCTACTTTTGAATGAGCATGAGCTAGCAGGCAGAAAAAAGTTACAGTACATAAACAACAGAATCACACCCATCAATCATCCTGCAGGTGAAGGTGAAGCTTTTAAAAGAAAGTGAACATTTATTCTGGGGTGGCAGCTTGCAGGAAGCAGAATTTATTAAGGCAAAACAAATAAGGGCTTTTTTATTTTCATTCAAATTTTCTCTGACCAAGTGAGCTTGAGGATAGTGTGAACCACTTGCTACAAAGGCCTTGAAACTGCAACCTTGACAGAGACATTGCTGAGTTGAAAGAGAGCAAAAAATTATCAAATAGTTACTGAAGTGATTTAAACTGGTTACTCTGAAGGAGTCTGACACCTWATAAAACTGACCTTCAGTTTTCTTTATGGGCATTAAAACCTCAGATAATATGTGAAGTTCTCAATATTTTTCACTTCCTGAATAACTAAACAAGACTTTGTTGAGTCATTTACTGCTTTGAGTCATTTACTGCTGCTTGTGTGTCCTCCTCTCAAGGCTTCATAGCCTTTTTGTACTTTGTGGTGTTTTGTTTTCAAACGTTTCAGTTTTCTAGCACCACCGCATCTTGTGAAATGCAAGATGCTGTTTGTTTTTAGATGTCTGTCCTCTTGCCGTACTTTATTACCTTTGTGGAATTGATGAGGCGAATGCCCATCAATGAGAAAAATAAATAAATAAACAGATGAGCTTCATGCATCTATTATCTTTAACTTTCACTCTGTGAGGGGCGGGGTACCTGCTGGACAAACCACATGGTTTTTCACATGTGACAATAGAGTAAATTCATGTGGTTTTTCTGGAAGAGATGGTGCGCTAACCCTGAATTTGCATTGCATGTAGCTCCACTCCAGTCCGCTTTGCCACGCTGTTCACTGTCATTCGTTTCCACCCTGATTTACATTGCGTTCATCTCCGCTCAGCTGCAAAGAACACAGGTGCTCTGAGAAGCATGTGCAGGAAATGCAAGACTGTGCAGTAAATTCAAGTGATAAATGTGGAAGTCAGACCAAAAAAACTCGTGTTGAAGACGAACTGGAATTTGCCTTTTTTATAAATCCATTTTTCAAAGTAAAATTCACATTTTTGTGTGTATGCATACAAGCTACAATCTGCTTCCCAACAAAATAGTATGTTTTGACAGCATGTATGTATGAATTTATCCATATATTTATTAATATAGCTAGGATTTCGACAAAATGTAGTCTGTCTTTRGTGAATTATTTTGACAAAAAAAAGTTGGGCTCACTGCTTTTCCYGTTGGTGCAGTGTGATCTTTGTAGATTGACTCCAAACTTGCTCTGCCATCCCGCAAAACTAGGATCGAACCAAATTTTGGTGGATGGCCGTGCGCACCCAGCTGCCTTGTGGCTGCAGTGTTAATGCTCTCATTGATTATAATGGGTGCATTTCTACTGCAGAGATCGTAGCGACGAATGCAGTGTAAATTAGGGGTTATGATTTCACGCTTTATCGATGCACCAGCCCATGACAGCAGACACCATTTTGGCCTCAACACTGACACAGTTTTGTTCTGTTTGTATCAGCCATATGGGGTTGTTGGATTTTATCCAGATCATCACTTTGAAATGGTGCAAATTCTGCTCTTTATGCTGTGTTGCAACATGCACTAATATGTAAATGATGTGAATGCAGTCATGACTTGTTGTGCATTAACACACTATTTAATCAAAAAATGAATATAGTAATATTTTTGATGGACATTGTAAGACAGCAGTCAATGTCCTTGCCTGTGAACTGAAGGAATGAATGATTTTATTTATTCGGGACAGTATGCAATTAAAACATAATTTGATGCATTGCACCAGATTTAGTCCAAGGCTAATTTACATCTGTAGTCCCATCAAACAGTAAAAACAAAACAACATCCAACAGTAAATTAGAAGTAAGAGAGGAAAAAAACAGAAAATAAAAATATTATAAAATAAAACATTTTGCAATTAGAAAATACAGAAAACACCTTGCAATTAAAATTTTGCAATTAAAAAATACATAAAACACCCCACCCCACTCTCCAAACATAAAATCATGCCCACCTCCACCCCACCCTCCAACGCACACAACCAGAAGCAACTCTAAAATTGATTACCCAGTGCAATTCAATGATTGCAACATTGGTTAGATTTAAGATATTTTTAAAATTATTTTTAAAGCTAATAAAAGAACTACAAGTTTTTACATYATAGGTAGCAGCATTCCTCTGAGCGATGGCTTTAACCGAAAAAGCTGCTTGTCCAAAGGCGGATCGTCGGGCAGGAACTTCACAGTTCTGCCTGGATGTTCTTGTTAAGCGCAAAGAAACAGCTGAATGATAATAAACAAATTTTTGCAAACAGATTGGCACTAAACCGTTTAAAATTTTATATGTTGTTTCTATATTTGAGAAAACTCTAAAATTTTCAAAAGAAAACAAAATATATATAAATATATATATATATAAAAATATTTCTGCACAATCTGACAATGATGGTGTCTTAAAGGCTTGTCAAATATTTTGAGGGCCTGTTTGTAACAAGACTCTACAGGTTTTATTACTGACACATTGGCTTGTCCCCAACATGAAATAAATATGAAATTTGTGAAAAATGGAGTGCATGAATATCTTGGCTGCTTCCAATGACAAACAAGATCTAGCATGTCTAAAATTGACCAGGTTAAATCTAACAGTTTGTGTCATTTTTTAAACATGCTTCTTGTAGTTGAGATTCGAATCCAAAAAAACTTCAAGATATTTAAACTCAGTCACAGTTTAATTTTTTTTTACCCTTGATACAAATGTTTAAATTTAAGGTGTCCAATTTAGTCTTAAAGAAAAATCATACTTTTTGTTTTGTTTACTTTTAAGTCAGACAGGATTGATTTAACCAATCAATCACTTCCTACAGAGCTTTGGTTAATTTATCAGCCGCGAGTTAAGCCGTTTTAGCATGTGTGTACAGAACAGAGTCGTCCGCATATAACTAGACTTCTACATCATGACAAAACTTTGGAAAGAGTTGGTTTTTTTAAGTGAGTGGTTGAAGCAAAATGCAGCATCGAAACCAGGGGTCTCCAACCTTTTTTTTTTTCTTAAGAGCTTTTTTCACAAAATGAAATTATCCAAAAGCTATTTTTTGCAACATTTACTTTTAAACTTAAAAACACGGGCATAAATCCCATGCAGTAACGAATACAGGAGGGGTTTCCCAGGAGCTCTGCAGAGTGTGTCTCAAGGTCTATAAAAGGTGCATGTGAAAACGAATGCCGAACAACCACGTAACTGCACGTCATCTGCTGATCAGCCATACTGAGCCCTAAACAGTTTGATTGACAACCAAGGGGAAAGGACATTTATAGACTGATTGGAATTAAGTGAATTAAGTGCAATATGTGGGGGAAATCCACATTGTTTACAGACAATCCGTACAACTTGACACCTTCGCCTGCAACTCCAAATATAGTGCTGAAACCAAAATGAATTTTTAAAAAGCTTCAGTGTCATTTGATTTTGTTCTAAATTTTGCCTGTAACATTTCCCCCAATAAACTTCAAGTTGTTTAAAACAAGCCTAACTTTAAGTCTTTCCCTCCTGGTGTTGAAATTTTTAAACAAGTGCATAGCCTGGTCCAAGTGCATGTCTCCCATTAGGGCTGTTTGGAGAGGATGCYGCTCTAGGGAGACAGCCCTGTCCGATGGTTAACAACTGCCGTTTTTTCTTTTCTTTTTTTTTTTGCCACCAGCGCTATTGCTATCTCGCTCTCTTCATCCCCCCATAGCAGCATGCAGATGGTCCATCAMCATTTGTGGAGGAGGAAGAAGGCAGGGAGGGAAAAGAAAGAGGGAAGAAATATGTTACAAGTCACTAAAGAGTGACGTATGGAGCACACATTTGTGGTAATGTTTTCTTGTGCACAGATATAAACATACAACCAAACAAATGTCAGTTTAAACAACCCATTTGGTTTCTCTCTTCCTCTGARAACAGGATTCCCTCCTAGCTCAAAGGATGAGGGCTGATCTGTTCAATAATACATACCCATACTTCATGCAGCAGATCAATAATATATTCGATCATCCAGCCTCTGTTGTAGATGCTGACTTTTCTGAGACCTAGCTTTGCTTTTACTTCCATGAACACAACTGGAGATACAGCAAAGGAAAAGGACAACTGGAAAGAATAAAATAACTAAACACAAGCTAATCTGTACTTTTCTATGAGCTCCAGCGTGCTTTCTCCCTCTTGTTTATTAAATCCTATATTTTTCTGAGAGTTAACGCTCACCATCACCCACACATGTTTAGAGCTTTATTGCTACTGTGTCATCAACAACACTTGAGCTCGGAGAAAGGAGCAATCATACCTTGAGCTCCGAGTTTCTGCAGGCATTTATTTATCTAACTCTGAGACCATATTGATTTTGGAGGAGTTCAATTCTTTGGTAAACTGAGTCCATAAATTTTCATTTGTGCCACCAGGACAAGGCTGTCTTCCCCATCCCTGCATGGATGGCTGGACATTAGCATAGCATGCAGAGATTAATAAATTAGCAAAACAAATCTGGGTTCAGCATAATGAAGTAGGTGATCGATACACTATTGACCCAGTTCACTTGGTGTTTTACGAGTGTACATTGTGGAATGAAAGGATGGAATAAATTGATCACTAAATGAGCAAACGCAGAGGTTTTGTTAGTGATGTAAGGTGAAATTGCAGCCATGGGAAAAAGAAAGTCCACCTTAGTGTATTTTTAAGTTTTAATGGCCTATATGCCACAGTCATTAATGACGTATTTCCGGTAAAATTCTTGCCACGCTCCTCCCTTCCACTCCCTGCTTACTGCCTGTGTTTTTACGGTTACCGCTTAGTACTAGTCCGTGAAAAAGTCACAAAAGTTGAAGTTTCTGTGAGCTACTGGTATAAAACATGAGTTCTGTTGTGTGCCGTTGTGTCCACTAAGCAGCAGATACGATTGAGTAGTTGGTTTTTCTCCATTTTCCTCTTGATGAGGAGGTGACAGCTGTGGATCATAGCATTACAGGGAAAACGTATCTTTAAAAGCTCACGCTTGCGTTTATAATCGGCATTTCTAACCTGAGGATATTCAAGAGTCAGCATCAGAAATGAGAAGACGGAGGTTACAAAAGGGAGATGTACATTTATCCCCTTTTACTGCCAAGACCGGGAGAGGAAAGACCTCCTCACAGCTAGCAGGAAGCTAACACAGCAGCCGGTACAGGTAGGTGTATGTGCGTGCGCGCGTTTGTGTTATATGAAATGTTTTTATGCGACTTTGTCATGAGTTTTATGCAAAGGTAAAAGCTTGTTAGAGTGTACATTACAGCGTAGACTAAAGCCGAGTGACGAGCGCCCCCCTCCCTCCCCCCCGAGCACCAAAAGCAGCAGAACCTCCGCCTGATAATCATTACGTTTTCAGTTCACTAACGTTGGGGAAAACGATCCAAACCATACAAGTAGCCCATCAATTTAAAGCCCAGATTCTGCTCTTTACAACAATATAAGTGTCACAGCTCTATGTGAAAAATTCACGGAAAAAGCAGCRACGGAATAGCAAAAAAGGCTAAATTCTGGAACCATAAACACGAATGTCTTTCCTTTGTTTTTATGGGTTTAATTCACTTTGGAGTGATTTTTTCCACTTGGCTGAACCTGTACGTCTCCTGTGTTAATGTTGGTACATGTAATGTGCTAATTCTGTACTGTGGAGATCATTAAGAGTCGTTGTCGGGTGAAAAAATCTTTCGCTAACACTGTGCTGACCGTGAACCGGAAGTGTTGGGAGTGGCATCCAGTGCTGGACCAGATGTCCGTGGCATATAGGCAATCAGGTTCTGAAATTACTCACTGCAAATCTAACTTCAAATGTGCAAAAAATACTATTATACTTGTATCAATATTGGAAATGATCGTGCAAAGAAGGATTTCACGTAAAATCAAGAACATTGTGGACAACGCTGACCATCCTCTTCATCAAGACTGTCATAGAAAGACAAAGTGTCTTCAGTCGGAGGCTTCTTCAATTTCGTTGTAATACAGACCGCTATAGAAGATCTTTCCTGCCCACAGCCATCAGCATCTATAATAATTTTTTAGTTAAATGAGTTACAACAACATAAGATTTCCCTGTGGGATCAATAAAGTATTTTTGAATTGAATTGAACTGAATTGAGTATTTATGAAACAAAGAGAAGCTAAAGCTGTCATTCAAGTTCAGAAAGGTAAAAGGTTTCAATTTCAAGCAATTTTTAATTACAACATTTTTACAGCAAGAAAGATTATACATAAGTGGAAAACAGGACAGCTGTCAACCTTCCCATTGGTGAACTAAATTCAACCGCAGGTCAGATTGCACAATCGTCAGAGAAATGACAAAAAATAAAAATAAAATTAAATTAAAATTAAAAACAAGAGCTCTGCTAGAATAAAGCCTCCCTTCTCTAAAAAGATGCATGGCTTAGGTTTGCTAAGTTGCATCTCAATGAACCACAATATGTCTGGAACAACCAGCAAATCAGCACAAATATCAACTATCAAGCAAAGCAGCAAAAGGACGGTGGTTGAGTTGACCATAAACTCCTCTGTAAACCAAAGTTTTCTAAAGTCTAATTAGACTGCCTGAGCTAAAGCTTGTCCTAATAACTCCAATCTCAGCAGTTGACTTAAAAATAAGAAAATCAAAATATTGCAATATTCAATCAAAGTCTTTACCTTAATCTGAATTAAATGCTGTGGCAGGAGTTGGGCTTTGAGGGAGATGTGCACACATAAAGTCTGCAAACCTCAATGCTTGGACACAAGCATTTTTGCATTGTATGGCTTGACTGTGGTGAGCAGTGGTCCATAACTCTACCACAAGACACTGATAAAGACAGAAAATGACATAATAATAATACTTCAAGTCACTGTTGCTGAAAGCTAAAAGAGCACTTAATTTTTACATGCAACTTATTCATTTCGAATATTTGTGTACACTTCAGGTTAGACTTAAATAATTTAATGTCACATCATTTTGTTATGACTTAAAGTGTAAAATCTTAGAACTGAAAAAGAGTAATCTGCCTTTTTGCCCATGACGCAAAGAAATGGGGCTGCAGTACTTAAAGGTTGACAACAGTTTTGAAACGATCAACATCATCTCCTTTTTGAGGCTCAGGTGGTCATTTTCCTCCAAGTTTTCCATGGCAGTAAGCTGTTTGGGCTCACATCGTGTGATTATGGGAAATGAGAGGCTTCAAAGTGTGCACCGCTCCCTGGAGAGACATGAATTATTCTCATCCCCCAGCCCCCATCCCACTGCACAACAACTTCAGTGTCAACAGCACTGCCACGACACACTTTCAATTACTGATGCCAAATCTCTCCAATGAGCTGTACTTATGTGCAGTTTATCAGCTTGAAGGCAAGAGAAGTGAGTTGCTCGAGAGTCATTATCCCCCCCTACACACTCTAGCAAACACTCTGCCCTCGTCCCACATCCCGCTTCTCATCTCAGCGAACGATACACTCACGCAAACAGCGATGATCTTGTTCTCATTGGGGTTTTGTTTCTTTCACGGCYTCGTTTGTGCTGAGGGTGCCGTAAAAGTAGGCTATGTAGTGAGTGTGAGGTATGAGATGTTCTCTACTCTATCAGGCTCAACCAGCCCAGCGGGGGGTGGGGGGGCACTCATTTACTTTATGGAATATTACTTTCTCTCCATCTTGCCGTTACCATGGCAGCCGCTATAAAAAGATTTTCTTCTCATACCCATTATTTGATCCCCCCCCTCCCAACACCCCACCGCCCTCCCCTCCCCACATACACACATAACCAGAGGAAGATCCCTTTATTGATTTTCATTGCTCATATATTTTGAGCACGGAGGATTGAATTTAAAGCCTATGAAGTCCTCAACTGGAAGGGAACTTCATAAAGATTCCTTTGTAGAATAGGGACATTGTTTTTAGGCATTATTGGCAGAGTTGCACATAAGCAGTGCGCAGGTACGCATGTGCGATCAAAAAACAAAAAAGCGCACCAGATGGGAAGTCACAAAGCTCCCTTGCGTACCTAAGGTTGTACCTGATTGTCTGTCAAAACAACAACTAGCAGGGCTCTAGAGAGCAACCAGTTTGGTTGCAAACGCGACCTGATTTCTTAAAAAAATTTAAAAAAGAATCCAGCCGCACTGTTGTGACTGGATCATTGTTCGGTGCGCCAGAGCGGGACCCTGATATGAGGATTAAACAGACACTGCCTTCAACAAATCAGATGAAGTCCAGAGCCATTTTATCCAATCAGAGCAGAGCAGGGTGGGACTTTCAGTGAGAGCAAGTGTGGTTGAAGCAGCGTGCCGGCTCGAGTCGAATCGAGCTGCTGCAGCAATCAGTCCTGACATCTCCTCCTCCGCTCCTCCTGCACTTTGCTCCTGAACTACCAGAGACTTTGGTCTGTAAAACCTAACTTTATATTAAATATGTGTTCAGAATGTTGTTATCAAACAGATCTGTCCAACTCTGTGTGAGTGACTAAACTCTCCTCCTGAGAGACTGCTGTATGAGCGCGTCGCTGCGTGCGTAGGCTGTCTGTGAGATTCACTGAGTTCTTCTAATTAAACCACATTAACTAACAGAACATTTGTTTGCCCCATATTAAAGCAAAGACGATTTTCTGTTTAACACCCCGGTAAAAAAAATATAAATATATATTAAAAATATAAAAAACAACTTGCCATGTTCTCCAGGTGAAAGAGCTTTAAATCTTATTTTAATTTATCATAAAGATCACAAATTTCATTCACAATTTTATATAAAAAACAAGGTTCTTGATTTGATAAACTTATTTATATGTAGGACCATACTGTGATGCAGCTTTTCTGGGATAAATGTAATTTATTAAACGATCAAATACAAAGAATAAATAATTACATGACCTGAAACCATCTAAATAATATAATATTTTTGAATAAAATAGTCTTTTAAAAAAGAAATCAGTCTAACAAATAAAACATTTGTATGTTTTAAGTTATTTTGTTCTGTGCAAAAGACAGATATTTGCTGCTTGGGTTGGAGAGTGTTGAAAGCTGGTTTAACCAAGCCCAAAGATTCCGAAGACCAAACAGGAGTTGTCCATCTGAGGGACATGTGCAGTTTAAAAGACATTTAACCATGAAATGTTCAGTTTGCAATGTTTATATGACATACACCCAGTCCCTCAGCCACTTAGGTAGTTTACAAAAATTATGCAGAGTAAAAGAATAACTTAAAAAAACTTGTTGGACTGATTTGGCATGATGTCATGAGACGTTGCAGCTGATAGGAGTCATAAAACAGAACAGGGGGACGTTAGATGCTCTGACACCATGAATGTATTAAATGAGTGAAGGAAAATATGAGTGAGCACCAAGCAAAAACCCTGGGTTCTCCCCTGAGAACCAGACCAAAAATTTTATGTGCAACCCTGYTTATTGGTTAGTTCTAATTTATAATAATCCAAACTAAATGATGTCCCTTACAATGGTGTTAGTCAACAAATTAAAAGAAACACTGTTTTTTGCATGTTTGTTTGTTTGTTTGTTTGTTTGTTTGTTTGTTTGTTTGTTTGTTTGTTTGTTTGTTTGTTTGTTTTACAGGCTCATCAAGGAGCATCTTGGTGAACAAGAAGTGGCGATTTCCTTGATGATTGACTTCTTAGAGGAGGAGGACTTGGGAAATTATTCCTGCTATGTGGAAAATCGTTTCGGTCGTCGCCAGGCCAACATCCAGATTTTCAGGAGGGGTAAGGACTTTTGGGCATTTCCCACTAAAATCTTAAGTAACCTTTAAAATAAGTTTTGTGGTTTTAATAAACATCTTATTTCTTACTGCCTGGCAGCAACAGGTGTTGTTTGCTACTTTGTTTTCTTTCCTTTTAAGCTGAACAATAAACTCAGTGATGTGATAAAATATTTTTAAAATAATGTTAAACATAATTTCTATATGTGTAAAAATTGTTAACTACAGTTGCAGGAAAAAGTATGTGAACACTTTGGGATTTCTTGGATTTCTACATGAATTGATCGTTAAATGTGTTCTGATCTTCATCAAAGTCCCAACAATAGACAAACACAGTCTGCTTAAACTTTCACACAAAAATTATATGTTTGCATGGTTTTATTGAACACAACATGTAAACATCCACAGTGCAGGGTGGAAAAAGTATGTTAACCCCTAGGCAAATGACTTTTCTAAGAGCTAATTGGAGCTAGGTGTCGGCCAACCTGGAGCCCAATCAATGTGATGAGATTAAATGTGCCCTGCCCCCATAAAAAAACACCAAATTTGTTTGCTGCTCTTAAGAAGCATTGCTTGATATGAATCATGACTCACACAAAAGAGCTCTCAGAAGACCTACGTTCAAGAATTGTTGATTTGCATGAAGCTGGAAAGAGTTACAAAAGTACAGTATCTCTGAAAGCCTTGATGTTCATGTGTCCACAGTAAGACAAGACGGTCTACAAGTGGAGAAAGTTCATCACTGTTACTACTCGCCCTAYGTGTGGGTGTCCTGTAAAGATGACTGCAGTGATCAATGAAGTGAGGAAAAATCCTAGTCAGCTAAAGACTTACAGAAATCTGACACATGCTAACATTTTTGTTGTCAAATCTACAATACGTAAAACGTTACACAAGAATGGAGTTCATGGGAGGACACCACGGAGGAAGCCACTGCTGTCAAAAAAAAAACATTGCTTCACATTTTATGTTTGCGAAAGAGCACCTGGATGTTCCACAGCACTACTGGCAAAATGTCCTGTGAACAGATGAAACCAAAATTGGGTTGTTTGGAAGGAACACACAAAACTATGTAGAGAAAAAAAGGCACAGCACACCATCATCAAAACCTCCTCCCTACTGTGAAATACGGTGGAGGGGTATCATGGTTTGGGGCTGCTTTGCTGCCTCAGGGCCTGGACGGATTGCCGTCATCAATGGAAAAATGAATTCACAAGTTTACCAAGACATTTTGCAGGAAAATTTAAGACCTTCTGTCCGCCAACTGAAGTGTCCGCCAACTGAAACTCAACAGAGGATGGATGATGCAGCAGGACAATGACCCAAAACATAGAAGTAAATCAACAACTGAATGGCTTCAATAGAAGAAAATATGCCTTCTGGAGTGGCCRAGTCAGAGTCCTGACCTCAACCCAATTGAGATGCTATGGCATGACCTCAAGAGAGCGATTCACACCAGATATCCCAAGAATATTGCTGAACAGAAATAGTTTTGTGAAGAGGAATGGTCCAAAATTCCTCCTGACCATTGTGCAGGCCTGATCTGCAACTGCAGGAAATGTTTGGTTGAGGTTATTGCTGCAAAGGGAGGGTCAACCAATTTTTCAATCCAAAGGTTCACATACTTTTTCCACCCTGCACTGTGGATGTGTGGGGTCAGTGAATATTGAACACATGTTGTGTTCAATAAAACCATGCAAACATATAATTTTTGTGTGATATAAGWTTAAGCAGATTGTGTTTGTCTATTGTTGTGACTTTGATGAAGATCAGAAGACATTTAATGACCAATTTATGCAGAAATGCAAGAAATCCCTAAGGGTTCACATACTTTTTCATGCAACTGTCCATCATAAAATCCATCTTTCTGTGACCCTTTTAAGCTTCAAATGAAAAAGTYGACAGAGATGTTTTAATTGTTTTGCCAAAATGCCAATTTCTTTCTTTTAATGTGCTTTTTTTTTAATTTATCTATTTATTTGTTAATTGCGTCTATGCTCCATGATMTACTGCTACCAAAAATAATAACACACTATATTCCCAATTGAGCTGCAGTTGTATGTTTTTGCTTTCTTTCTTTTTTTTTAAATTGAAAAACCAAAGTAAATACAAACACAGAGTAGCAAACCAAAAACTGGGATGGAAATGGAAAAACAGCAGCCAAACAGGAATTATCAGATCCTAGCAGAATCATTTAATCAGATGGAAATATTTTAGATATGTTGTGCATTATTTTTACCCAAACTTCAAGATTCCATTTGATTATATTTGATCTTATCTGCACCACCAGCTTTGAAGCTTTTTTTTTTTGTCTCTCATCTCTGAAGCTCTTTTTATGCACTAGCTGTCACCCCAGAAGAGAAGTAATTTGATGGCTGTTTAAACAGCAAATTGGTCTTCAGCTTTTCCCACCAGGCCYATACATCCCGCATACAATTACATTTTAAGGCCTTATATGTCTGTTTCCCCACTTTAATCTCTTTCTCTGTGATCGTCCTTTTGTAGACAGCCCAGTTCCATTTGAGTGGTCTTTGCAGACTGCAGACAGCTTCATTTAACTCCCTTTGTCAAAGGAAAAGGATGCTAAGTCGAGCTCGCTCTGTCTCTCTCATCCACATCTGATGTCTATTTCATGTTTCTCTTCAAAGCGTTGACCACTTGAAGGCCCTGCAGCACATCTAATGTCACTGGAAGCACCTTTCCTTGTACCTCAATGGGAAGGAATAGGAAGAAGGGCATTGGTCAGTGAGACATAAACAACTTACAGAAGAATGAAGATTGCCAATAATTAGCTATAAACTTTAAAGTTAGGAAAAACAACCAAGTGGAGGCTCAAACAGTGCTGTTTTTCTATCACTTACTATATTGTTTTAATGTTTTTTAAAGAAAAGTCCAGCATAACGCACAAACTGAGCAAGAATGTATGTTCTTTAGATCAGCGCTTTGTGAGGATGTAAAAAACATGGAATAAAGCCAACGTTAAATGGTTTTAATGTGCAAGATTTTGTTGTCTAGTTGTTGTTTTTTTTATTTTCAGGATTAAACTTGTATGTTAGTTTTACAAGGGCTTTGGTATGTTTAATGTTTTTGCTTTATTTTTTGCCTTTTTTAATTTAAATGATTTGAACCCTTAAAAAAGAAAAAAATATTGTTTTTAWAGGTGAAATTTCTATGGTTCAGTTCAATCTTTAACAGAAATGTGTGTGCATGGAGGTGTTAGGTGGGAGAATCTAATGGGTTATTAACATAGAACAAGGTCTTCCAAAACAATCTTTGTACTTGTGTATATTTCTAAAAGTTTCCTCATAAATACTTTTCCAGAAAAGTTTTTATACACACAGAAATACTGAAAACAACCCAAAACAGTGTAGTAACTATGGTTGGCCTGTGTGTGGTGTTGTAACATTGGTAAAAAACAGGAAAAGAAAAACCTAAACAGGAAAAAAGCATAGATCATGAACTTATACACTAAAGAAGAAGATGTCCTCAAGGTTAGATTAGAGGTAACACTGTTTTTAAGAGAATTGTGTTTTTAATGTAACTTTTTGTCACTAATCTGCTATTGGCAAAATCTAACCTGTTGTACAAAAAATAAATAAGCATAATCTAGGCTTSTAAAATGTGGATAGCCCCTAAGTGATATGGTGATTGAACCCACTCTAGTTAGACTTGGTGTTTGTGCATAACAAAGGTAAAAAGGTCTGCTTTTCTCCAAGAGAAAACTTGTTTTTATTGTGTGTGTGTGTGTGGGGGGGGGGGGGTTAAACTTTTCTCTTAATCAGTTGGCGGTATTTACAATTTAATCTACATAATTTTGTTTGTCAATTAAAAAAAGCATTTAACAGATATTCAGTCGAGTTAAACAGCAGTTCGTATCTTTTGAAGTAGGGTTCTGTTGAATGTAAGGAACAATTAATTATCTCATTCAGTGCAGATAATTGAACAATTTCAGTTCAGAAAATATAGTAAAAATTAAACTCCCTTCATTTAAAGAGCAAGCAGCAAAAGTCTAAATAACATTGAGCATAACTTTTCCATAGAACCCCACTTTTCAAATATGAATTATTGCTTTAATATAGATAGCATATGCAAAAGGAGATTTCCTAATAATGATTTATTATTTATTTGATTTCATTAAAATCAATTTATTTTTTATTAGTTGATTATAGTTTTTTAATGACAGTAAGATACAGCTGGCTTAGCTCACTGTATTTATGAATCATCTRTTTGACCAGATTCAAACAGGGATGTCAAACTCATTTTCACTGAGGGCCACATGAGCGTCATGGTGGCCCTCAAAGTGCCAGTTGTAATGAACTTTGATGTTTCATGTTAAACTTTGACTGAATAATGTTTTAACGTGTCCTCTTTTAAACACTGATAAGAATCGGTATGACTGATTAAATCTGAAATAAATACAAAAATATTATTAAACGTAAAACTAATAAAGTTTTACTGACTGATGAGTTTCTAGTAAGTAACTAATATGCATCATGGCAGATTTAGTTTATGGTTGATGCTGACTAAGCAGCTTATTTTCAGACATTAATATTGTACTATCCAACTAAATTGCTCAGTTACTTAAAGTTACACAAACAGTTCAGCGGCAGGGCAATTGTTATTTTCTTTCACATTTTAAGTTTATTTTTTTGCATTTAATCATACATTTAAAGTTAACCATTGATGTAAGAAACAATTTTCATGTACCCCCCCCCCCGTACCTACATGGGAGTCACCCCGCGGGCCTAGAGTTTGACACATGTGCACTATAATTTAAACAACAAAAAGTTATATTTAAATGTTTTTTTTCCTGCATCACAAAGGAGCTGCTACAGCTTGTAAAGATATGTACATTTGCTCTGTCTTTGATAATAAAGAGACAGCATTGCGGTTGCCATGGCAGCCGCACATTGTTAAAGCCCACAGTGTGACAGAGATAAAAGGTGAACGTGTTCTAGCTGAACCAACCAGGTAAACGCTGCTTTAATACACATCATAACTCATCCCRGAGTCGGGCCTCTGGAGAGATGTGGAGGCGATAATAGAGAAGAGAAATGAACTGAGAAAGGAGGGAAACGCAGATGGGGTARGACGGCAAGACGAGTGACAGAAAGATGAGTAATCCAAAAGTTGTTATTTTGAAAATGCCGCCATCCATGTCAGGAATTGTTACGATGCTCCAACAAATGACAGCCAGAGTGCAGAGCTGTGTCATTGCTGTGCCAGGCCAAAGAAATGAAACCCCATTTCTCGTTAGTTTCTTTTTTCCTGTGTCTTTCTGCACTGTATTCTTTCATTTTTTCTCAAACTCGTTATGAGCCTCATGTCTCTGAAGATTGATTCTGCTCTTCTCTGCACTGAGCTTAGCGCTGAAAAATCGGGGAAATTGTCCAGCTCTCTGGCAAATGTAAATGCTTTATTTGAATGCCTCTGAGTTTAACAGGAGAAATGAACAAATTAAAAGAACCTCTGGTCAAAACCAGTGCAGAAACGGCTCCTGCTCAGGAAAAAAAACTGTAAAGGAGTTGAGACTTTTGTGTCAGCATTTCTGTTTTCTTTTTTTCTTCCTATTCTTTCCTTATTTTTGGCTTCTGTGTGTGTTGTCCTCAGCAGAGCTCATGTACACAGTGGAGCTGGCAGGAGGGCTGGGAGCGATCCTGCTGCTGCTCATCTTCCTCATCTCCCTGTACAAATGCTACAAGATTGAGCTGATGCTTTTCTACAGGAGGAACTTTGGCAGCGAGGATGTGGATGGAGGTAAAGTCAACTCAGTGCATCCAAAAAATTAAAGCGCTAAGTATTTCTTGAAATAATGCACATCACCCACCACCTTTCTTGCATAGCTACTAGAGTAGCTTTATGTTTAAGAAATAACAGTGTAACCATTTTAGTCAAACCTTGAAGTTAGCATGTGCAATCTCATGCAATGTTACAAAATTTCGTGCTGARTGAATGTGTTGTAAATGACTATCAGATACTTTTACTCAGTGGTGGGCAGCACTAATCTAAAAAAAATAGTTCCACTAGGCCCTAAAACACTAACACAAATATTTAGGTCCCCTAATTATAAAGCACTAACGCACTGAAAAATTTAGCAAAAGCTAATCCTAAAGCACTAAAATAACCCATTCAACCCATGATCATTCTTCAACAGACAACGAGTCACTTATTGCCATGTTGCTCTCTTAAAACTTATCATTGACATTCCACAGCCATATTTGAGTTCATATATTGTCAATATATTGTCACCTAGTGGATAAGTGACACATATGATACAAATGAACAAAATGTGACAGCTTTCACCCTCAGCTGTTAACATTAACATTGATCAATAACATTTATAGACCTCAGTTAGTGCTTCTAAATTTCGCCTACAAATTTAGCAAGGGCTAATCCACTAATGAATTTTAAAATTAGCAAAAGCCCTAAAGCAATGATCAGGAAATTACTTCCCCTAGTAGTGCTTTAGTTCTTTACCGATGTAAAAATGAGTTGAGTGAATTTGCCCACACAATTTCGGCAATTGCTTTATGGCAAATGTCCTTCCTGACACAACTTGGACTCAAACCTGCAGTCTCAGAATGACAAGACTGTTTGTAACATTGACCACTGAGCATTCTCTACATGGAAAAAACATTATTATACACAACAGCATTTCAGCGGCAAAAGATTAAAAACTACTCTGCCCAGGCTGGCCCATGGCATAGGCAGTTTATGCTAATGCTAAGGGCACTGTCCATCCAGGGGGTACCACATATAGAAAAGGGAAAAAAAAGCTTAGCTCAACAAATACACTGTTCTTTAAAGATTTTATACATTTCATGTGGGTATAGTTGATTTAGTCTGTAAAATAGTCACCAGTTACTCAGGTTTATAATTTGTTCTGTGTATTACTCAGGTTTATAATTTGTTCTGTGTATTTCTCAGAGTAGTGTCTTTGTTACATGAGGTTATACAGAGCAGAGGATGTTTTGTGATAAAAGCACCATAAATGCAGTCAAGGCCAACTCATGGTGCTCAGTGTGTAAAAAAAAATAAGGGTAATGAAATTTCCAAGTATGATTTTAAATAAAGTTCAGGTTAAAGGCTAGTTTTCAGTGTTTCACCTTCATAAAATACTGACTTAATGTCATTTTAGTAATTCAAGGAATTATACAGTGTTAAGAATTTAGCAAAATGCTCTTCAAATGGCTGGAAAATGCATCGTTTTTAGTAGATAAAAAAGTACTGGGTGGCATGCCCCCAGACCCCCCTAGAACTGCTTCAGTATCGGTGTCAGTAGATCTTATGGTATTAGGCAGATGTCTGAGTTTCTGTCTCAGATTTATTGTTGTTACTTGTTATAATTGGACAAACTGTCTTCTCTTGTTTAATTTTAAATGTAAATATATGTAAATTGGCATTGAGATTTTAAAAACTGCACAGGAGGCTCCACCAAGAATCTTGCCTAGGGCACCAAATTGTCTTAACAAAATTGTCTTAACAAAAATATAAATGTCAAATGAATGTGCCACTGTAGGTTCATTAAAATAATTTTAGCTGAATTTATCCAGAGAAGATACATCTAATTGTCTTATTTTTTTTTCAATAAACCAGAGACTATTTGTTCTCTCTGACTGCATCATGTGAGGTGCATGGAATCATGTATYTTTACTGCCATGCTGCTATGACTGGGCTTGGGGGAAAAGGAGAAGGATTTCCAATTTGTTGGCCATTTAAAAACAGATCTGTCTCAATATGTCAGGGAAGGAAGCTCACGTTGTGCTGACGAAGGCCCAGGTATTGGCAAGCAGGGACTGCCTGGGCTCAAAGCACCCTCCCTGAGTGACAAATTGCAGCAAAAACAGCCTGAAATTGTTGGCAGTTACTTGTTTTCCTCACCAAACATAGCTAACTTTTTCCTCTCAGTTAAGGAGTTGTCTGTCCTAGAATTTTCCTTTTTGTGTTTTTGCCTTTTGAATATTCAAGTAATTTGGAAACAAGAAACTCATAGCTTTTTGTTTCTCCAGTAGTATGAATTATCTATAACACACAGTTTTGTTGACTCAAACTTCCTACATGATTAAGTCATACTGTCAGGGATGGCTGATACAAGCTGTTTTCGATTTTCTGGCTTTGCTAGGTGGTTAATTTGTGTCGCTGGTTGCTAATTTGAAAGCTCCGTTTGATGTTTGGATCCAGTCGAGCACAGCTCTGGCCTTTCCAGGGAGTTTTAAAGCTGTGCACAGTTCTCAAAGAGTTTTTGAGAAAAAAGTCTCTCTTCCCTCTTTGGCTGGCCCACATTCAAGTTTCTGCAAAGAATAATGACTAGGACTTGCTGAACATGTCATTGTACAGTTTTGTTTTGTTTTTTTTTCTTCTCTGCACTTATTTTCTACTGAGAAATTACTTTGAGGTGGGGAACAGAGTATAGCTTCAGTGTTGATTGGCATCTATTTGTATCTAACCTGTTTTATTTCTGATAAACACATGAATGTGCGAGTCCTGGGATTTTTTTCTTTGTACATTGGTTTTTAATATAAGCCATTTTGTTCAATATTGGGCACAAAACATCAATTGTTTGTGGGGAAGAGTCTCTCTCTTTTAACATCCAGACTCTAAACTGGACAGCAAAGACTGATTTAAAACCACAAAATGCAGGATAAGTCTCATATCTGAACATTTGCTGTTGCTCTTGTGATTAAGAGGAATAAATTCTACCAGCCAGGATCTAAAAGTTGATATTAAAAAAATCATTGCAGTGTAGAAGGAATTGTTATGGCAGGAACTGGGAAAATTACGTTAGCACAAAACTGCATTTTCTCAAAGTTCTGATGCAATGAAGTGACATTTTGACATGAATGGATGTAATTGTTGCTCTGAAGAAAAATACAACTATGACTTGAAATYGCTTTACTTAAGCATAGTAAGCAAGGTTTTCTAAATCTGGGTTGCTCTGCTAATTTGAAGCCATTATCAGAAGCAGCACAGTTGAACTCAGTGAACTGAAACAATACGATCAACGTTTTTGTCCTCTTGGGCAAATTTGTCCTAGACTGAAAATGCTGCACTTTACAGTTCAACAAAAAGAAAATATGCACTAGACGGTTGAAGCTCTGTCATTACAGTACACCAAAATACCACACACACAGTTCATTCACAGTAAAGACACACTGCACATAACCCATACTGCACACCCCTTTAAAACTGAGGCCTCATGGTTCATTTTGTACCAAGGGCAGCAGGAAGGTTAAAAATGGAATTTGTACATAACTCACAGAAGTAGAAATTATATCTGGAAATTACTGTTTATTTCAAAGTATAAATACTGTAAACAATGTAAAATGAGTGTAAAAGACTCCACAGATAATTAGTGTTTGCTGGTTAACAAAAAGGACTCTAACTCAGACATTTTTACAGGTATTGAGCTAAAATTTAATATGAATCTTTTATTGGCCTAATTGATCACTGCACATTTAGACTTCATCAATTAATAATTTTGCAAACCTGTCTTAAGCCATGTATTAACATTAAAATAAATAATTAAAATGGTTACTGAAGGTTATTGATCAAGTTTAAAAAAAGAGATTTAAATATTAGCACAARGTGATTGAGTTTTCACAAAACAATATGAATTAGACGAACCAATGTGGACTGCGAGCCAATTTTCCTACCAGGTTTACGTTAAAGTACATTTAATGAAATGTTTCTTGAAAAAAATGTGCCGTTATTGATTCAGAAGTGCAGCTGTGAGTTAGACATCACTATGTTCATTCTGTGTTTGTTTGTTGTTTTTTWATTCATTGTCATGTTTTCATTTTATTTTATTTTTTTCAGAGAACAAAGACTACGATGCATATCTGTCTTACACCAAAGTGGACCCTGATCAGTGGAGTCAGGAGACCAGAGAGGAGGAGCGCTTCGCCCTGGAGATACTTCCTGACGTGCTGGAAAAACATTACGGTTACAAACTTTTCATTCCAGATCGAGACCTCATACCAACAGGAAGTAAGCACCATGAGTCTATGCATGTGTGAGAGAGAAAGTCACAAATACTTTAATACTATAAAAATCAAATGGTGTTTGAATTTGCTTTAAATAACATGTTGCTCCAGTATTTAGTTCATTACTTTACACTTTGTTGTAGTTTTGAGTGTTGTTTTTGTGTTTGTCCTCAGTGTTGGCTGTCACTGTCGCTGTCTTGTGTTTTATGTGCTGCAAAGAACCAATTTGAACTGAGACTAATACAACATCCACAACTAATTCATAACATTGTGACCTGTTGTCTGATAAAAACGCCACCAAAGCTTTTAAAATAAAACATGAGGCCTCAATGAAATGAATTTGAGTGTTGGCAGATGCTCAGTTGGATCTAGAGCAGGAGATTTAATCAACACCTCAAGTTTACATGTGTCCCTGAAGCTGTTCATGAACCATTGTTAGGGTGTGGTTTGTTAAATTGTCATTATAGAAAAGGCTACTGTTATCAGGGAATAGTATAATATCGTAGTATAATATCGTAGCACATAACCCAATGAACGTTTTTAACTGTACAATAATGTCTCTGCTAAAAATAAGGCTAAATTGATTTAAAACATATGCTTGTTTATAGCCAATGTTTAGTCCCAGAAAATTTTATCGTTTAGCATAAGCAGTTTTGTCCCCATCTGCTTTTTAACCACCAAAACTGTGATTTAAAAGTACTTGTTAAAAAAATTACTGTCAACATGAATAAAATTTCTAGTAGTTTCTTGGAAGCACATTATAGCAAATATATAACATAACATAAATTATACAGTTTCTACAAGGACAAGCTGTCAGAGGACAGAGTTGAATTATTATTTATAAGAAAAAAAGAAAGACAGAAATTAAAGTTGTACATGAATAATGACATGAATCAAAAACTGACTGAACATGGACAATATTGTTTTAGTGCCTACATATATGCTCAGTCATGTGTGTTTGAGTCTCACACTGGACATCTTTATGTACAGTATTTTTTGCCAAACTCAGCTGACTGGAGACATTAATGTAACATTTAAAACTAGGTTCAGACATCTTAAAAACTGCCATGGTGATATTATTCAGCCCAGTTTCATCCTATGAACAATTTAGATATATTTTCAATGCAAAATTGCTCCCGTTGGCGAACCTTCTCTTCACTGTCTTTAACTGGGCAATAATTGAGTGATTTGAATGATATGACAGAACAGCCCAAATCATCTTCTGTAGTCCAGTTTGGATCATGCGTTCATTGTAGCTGTTTTTTTAGTTGTGGTCAGACGTCACTTTGTGGTCCCTGTTCTTTGTGTGAGAGTGCAGCTTCAAACTCTGATTGAAACCTTTTCATCAACCGCAGCACAAATGTTTTCTGAAAATTGATCATGTGTATCAGTGAGCACTAGTCAGTCATGAGCTTGCTGTTAATTTGCATGTTATTTTATATTTTGACCACTCGACAAGAAAAGTCCCACAGGATCTCCTCTAAACTTTTATTGCTCTGGTCATTTCGCTAACAAATGCAATGCTATCAAAATAATCATGAGTTTTTGAATCTTTGTGGTCATAATGCTATGGCTGATGGGTGTTTCCATAGAGGATAAATGTAATATTCAGAACTAAGATATCAACAAGACCCTTTTCCATGTATCTTCTGAAACCGCTTAGATTAAAGATCAAAGGTTTTTTGCTGGCTGTTCCCTAACTGGCTCCTACAGATGAGGGAATACAGTACAGTATGCGCTGTGTACTGGGAGCTGATATATTGAACAAATTTATCGTCCTTTTCGGTTTTCATCCATGCATTAATAAAAATGTGAAAATTCTGTCTGAACATATTCTCATGTGAGAGGACTCATGCCTGCTTAGCACTTCGTCTGTACTAGCGGTACACAGTGTGCTCCAGTTTGGAGCAACACTGCGTGTTTGTACTGTAGGCTTCATGCAGAACAGATAAAACGCAAACACATCCTACTTGGTCCAGACAGAATTAAACATCAGTGGGAAATATGCAAACGTCTCTGAGCCCCGCTGACTGAGCCGCCTCTATCCTTTAATCAAAAGAAAATTGCCGCCAGTGTCAGTGCCAAGCAGAATCATTGCAGATGAATGTCCAATCAGGGAAAACATGGTATGTGATTAATTATATGTGAAGTAAAAAAAATGAGTGAGCGGATGTGCTGCCACTTTTACAGCGGTGTTATGTGTCTGTGTCTGTTCTGTGTACTTGCCTGTGACCTGAATGTGAAAATGTTTATGTTTAGGTCTCACCAATGAGCATTACCAGGATGACACACGACTCTTTGGAGGTACTCGCCCTCAGTCTTTTCCTCTTGCATTCAGCTGCTTTCATCTACTTGCTCCTAGGACACTGCAGAGCAGTGCACCATAAATCATTAGCGCCAAGTTAAAACCTTATGGGTCTGCTCATCTCAAACATGAAATAATAATGTACACACTGCACCAGAAACATATACATACTTCTGATTTGTCATTTTGGGTGCACAACATTATCCCCTGCCTTTCACCTTTCAGCAGCAGGCAGTGGACATTTTTAGATGTTGTAAATATAATTGTAATGTCCTCTTGACTTTAAGTCAGCTGTCATTGTCCTGTCTTTTGTGGATCAGGCTGGATGTTCATCAGTCATTAAGTGTTGTGGTTTGAACACATCAGACTGCATCAGACTTTTACTAAATGTGCATTTCTCCTCTAAAAATGTCTATCATTACTTCCTGTTTCCTGCAGCCTACATAGAGGACGTGGCACGTTGTGTAGACCAGAGCAAACGTCTCATTATAGTCATGACACCCAACTATGTAGTGCGACGAGGCTGGAGCATRTTTGAGCTGGAGACGAGGCTGCGCAACATGCTGGTGACTGGCGAGATTAAAGTCATCCTGATTGAGTGTGCTGAGCTGCGCGGCATCATGAACTACCAGGAGGTGGAGGCCCTCAAACACACCATCAAAACCCTCACCGTCATCAAGTGGCAGGGCCCCAAAAGCAACAAGCTCGACTCAAAATTCTGGAAGCAGCTGCAGTATGAGATGCCCTTCAGGCGCACCGAGCCCATGCTCACGCACGAGCCGGCGCTGGACGTCAGCGAGCAGGGTCCGTTCGGAGAGCTGCAGACCGTCTCTGCCATCTCAATGGCGGCAGCCACCTCCACCGCCATGGCCACGGCCCACCCGGAGCTGCGCTCATCCTTCCACAACACGTACCACACCACCTTGAGGCAGAAACACTACTACCGCAGCTACGAATATGACATACCCCCGGGGGGCACCCTGCCACCTCTGTCGTCTCTGGGMAACCAGCATACCTACTGCAACATCCCACTAACGCTGCTGAACGGGCAGAGGCCTCCCAGAAAGAGCCGAGAACACAGCCTTGAGGAGCCTCACGCCAACAACGCCATGCTCCCTCTGCTGCCGAGAGAAACCAGTATCTCCAGCGTCATTTGGTAGTGACGAGCTGACGTCGAGTTGATGTTAGAAAAATCCAACGGGGTCAGACATGACTGGGTTCTGTCAAATGAGTTTTGGATCAATCGAGCAAGGTACAGGAGGTTTGTGGATGTGGGTTCCCTCGTCTTTCTAGTGAATTCTTTTCTAGAGGACATTTTCTACATAAAGTTCAAAGGAACTTAAATGGAAACACTGTTTTATCAACGAACGAGAAACAGACTCACAAGAACTCCACATTAAGGAGCAAACACTCTATGGCAATTGCACACATGAACACACACAAAGAAAAAATGTGCATACATTAAACAAAAGGAAAACAGGGTTTGTACATATATTTGCATTTTATTAGTAGCATCTGTGTTTTCCTGTTTTTGTTTTTGTTTTTTTGTTGTTGTTTTTTTTGTCTGTTTAATTCAATCCTGTTTGTTGCCTTCTCTACTGTAGGACTTTGTTTTAACCTGTTTTACAAAGCTGTATATTTTTTATCATTTTTTCTTCCTTTCAGATTATTTTCATCCTTACAAGGCTCAATTTGACAAGGCAGTATGTCACGTACTTGCATTGTTGTATTCTCTTTTTGTTTGTTTAAAAATCATTATGTAGTTTAAGAGAACATTTATTTTAAACCTTTTTTCCAAAAGACATGGACGTTTCAGGACACACAAAGAGCTGAAACCTGTTTTTGTTTTACCTGTTAAAGGTGTATCTATTTTAAAAAGGACATTCTATTTGAAAAAAAATATACATAGAATATGCAAAAAGAAGGAGGAGCTGGCAGAAAATACACAGCTGAAGAGGTTGGGGATCTGTGCTAGTTCCCTCCAATCAGACACCTACGGACTGGCAGATCTCTCTAAAGCTTCTTTTCTTTTTATAATAAAACAAGCAGTTTTAGAGGGATAGTAAAATGCCTCATCTAAAAATGAATCTGTAGATTATTTTAAAAAAGTATATTTTTATAACAGAAAAAAATTGCTTGAGAGGTCATACTTATTTGCATTTCATCTTCCATCAAACGAGGATTTGTGTTTCTAAGTGTTGCGCTGGTTTTGTACACTTTGCGGTGTGGTAACTGGTTTGTGAAGAGGTGAAGCTGGTTTCTTTTCAGTCCCACATGACAAATACATCCCCTGCTGTACCAGATTCAAGAAGTGATTCTTGTTTTTGTTTTTTTAAGTATAAATCTTCTTCCCGCCCTGATAATTCTGATTTTCTTGGGTTATAAAAATAAGTAGAAAAAAAGACATTTGTGTTTTTGAAAGACTTTTTAAATATATTTGAAGGTGTGATTTTTAAGTATGCATAGCAAATAGATATGTATTCTATATATAATATAGATATTTATATACATATATAAACACAATTTTCACTCTGAAAGAAATGTCTATCTTTATAGAAACACAATCATTATCAGTTGCCCTTACTTTCTCACTGCACATTAAAAGCATTGATTTCCTTTGAACTGTTTCCTTTTGTGTCCATTTTTAACCTTTTTTATATAAATATCATTAAACCCTGTCTGACCTCTGAATACCCTACAACAGTCAGGTTAGGATTTATTTACCGTTTTGGGTGACATTTTCTTTCTTTTGGCAAAAACAAATCCACTGTCATTAGAAGTTCTCTTATAGGATAAACAACATATATATATANAAGATCATTTTATGCAAGTTTCAATAAGTTTAATARGATGTTTCAACCATTTCCTGTCAAACAGTCCAGTATTTAAAACGTTAAGTGAATATTAATATTTTCACATCTGAGAATCATCCCAGAAAGTATAAMTGTGTTGGAATGTTTGCTGTCAGTTTTGTCTCATTTTACGCCCGCTTTTAATTTTTTTTACACCAAACAAACGTCTTTATTTGAGATAGAGGAGAGCAGGAGGTAACGTGGCTGTCGAGGGAGATAGAGCGAGGTACAAACAGAGCAGAGAGAGAGAGAAACAGTGACAGCATCTCCTTCCTTGTCCATTTGCATAAACCAGCCTTTGTTTGACGCTGGTGGCTGGCAGCCAAACTCCAACAGAAGGACAGAAGTTAAACTAAAAAAAAAAGAAAGAAAATGGTCTTCATCCAGAAAATTATTCCTGCAGAAATAAATAATAATTATAACTATTGAAAACAATAAAAAACCAAAACAACATCAGTTAGTTTCTGACAGAAGCAGCCATTCTGTGGCTCCTCAGAAGAGAGGAAAAACAATTCGGGCGTCTTGGAGAGTCGTATTAGTGGACATGAAAGTGACTGAGCTTCGCAGGATAATTTTTTGAAAGAGACAGAAGTGTTTAGGAACACTGAAGCTCCTTCCAAGTTGTGAGTCTTCTGGTGTGTTGTTGTGGGAAAATCCAGCCAGAGACTGTTTAGTGTGATATAATGGTATTGCATAAATATACCAGGGTACATTCACAGCACAGCAGCTCGCACCATAATGCTTTAATTTAATTGGAAACTAATTAAATACATAAATAACATGAAGATTTTTTTGTTTTTTATTTTATTGTCACTGCTGGAGAAAAAAAAAAGAAAACAGACATGGCTGCCGTCTCCCAGCTTCTTTTRCCCTCCACCTTGAGTCAGAACCGGGCTCTCCGGTGTGACCTCGATAGCCAGCATGTTTGCRTTTCTCCCACGATGCACCTGGAGGGGACAGGGCCATCTCTGGGCCTGTCGGAGAGGCTGTTAGCGTTGCTCCCTGGGGGGCAGGGGGTGAGGGAGGGGGGATGTCCCTCTGTCACACAAACAACAGGCCGGGCTAATGGCCTCTTCTTCTAGGAGCTTTTTTTATTTTTTTATGCTCTCATGTATTCATTTATTCATGTCATCCTCTTCTCCCGCCCCGCCCGTCTCTCTGACCCAGCAGCAGTTGTACGCAGCTCAGCTGGCGGCCATGCAGGTTTCCCCGGGGGCCAAGCAGCACGGAGGCAGCCTTCCACCCCAAGCCAACCTGGGCGCACACTCCCCACCCACCAACACACACCCACAGAGCGACAAGGGCCGCAGCCCCCCGCCGAACAACAAAACCAAGGTAAAGACAGCTAACTCAACCACCAGGGGCTTGTGCTTGTGTTTACAGCCGAATTATTACATGTTTTCAACATGCATGAGCTGAAAACCCCTCCTGCAATCAAACCTGCTCCCACAGAATTCAGCCGCCTCGTGTCCGAAAAACAAAACGGTTCTTAAGCAGAACTCCAGCTGGGGTCCGGTTTGCGAGGCCGCCGGGGTCGCCGTCGTTTTTCTGCTCCGTGGGGTCCATCCAGGTGGAAGTCTATGAATAACCGACACGAACGTATGAACACCTCGTGTCTTCCATCACTGAACCCACAGGGACGCTGGCCTCTTTCACCGAAAACTTTCACTTTCCAATTTCCTGTCTTGTATAAAATAGATCAAAGCAACAACATTTAGTAAAAATTAGTCTTAAAACTCAAAGTTTCTGACATATTAAAAGTATTGAATAATAGTGGATACACTTCTCATCTAAGAGGTGTAATTTATGTGGATTTTTTTAAACAATAAAGCCAAAGTGAAATAAGAGCACTGACCTTTAACTAGAATGCATGATACATGGGCATTAAAATCGGTATAGTACAAGTAAAACTGGGCTGACAGTAACATCTGATACTGATTTCCTGCTTGTTGCTGTTTGTGTCTCGGGCGGGGAGATGGTTGGTTGAAAGGTATCAGTTTGATCATGATGGTGATGCTGCACAGTCAGGACTAACTGAAGCAGAGGAACACATCAGGTCATTTTTCAGTATCAAAAAAAGACACGACAAAAAGAGAGTAAAGCAAAAGACTCAAAAATTCTGTTTGCATAATTTTCAGCCTGCAAAAATTGATAATACCAGAAATACAAGTGCGTTTGTGCATGTATGTATACAGTATATATTACTGTTTATTCTGATTGGATTTAAACAGAAAAGAAAGGAAGGCATCTAACTAATCACAAACTTATAGTTCTATTTGTCTGAGTGAGATCTTTTTGTACACATGTATTTTTCAAGGTAATGGTTCAATGTTGTTTTAGCTTCTGACTCACAAAAAAACATTGTTCAGACACTTTTGACCCTGACACTGCCTCAACAACTATTTTAGTATATTATTCATTACTGTTGGGATATATTGTACATTAGCCTGGTTCTTGCCTTCCTACACAGTTCTGCTCAGTTCTAGTTTCCCTTCACTGCTCTGTCTGGAATTTCTCCCATAGACAAGGATTTCTCTGGTAGATTTCAACAGGGTCAATCAGCGAACAGAAGGAGGAGATGTGAACGACAACGTTGATTTTCTGCGCCGTTTTAGTCTGCTTGTAGTTTAGCAATGGCAGCGGATGAAGTGAATGGAGCCAGTCCGTGTTGACAAGTCTTGCAAATTCAATTAAATTTGTCTGACAAAACCTTCAGCACTCATTTACACCCATCTTGTTTTGCTCGGTACTTCTCTCTTCCCAATAGGGGATGGTAGTTTACAGCGCACATAATTTACGGTTAGCTTCTTAGCCTAGCTTCCTTCACAGTCGAGCTGGTGCGCTACATACGTTAAATTGGCAATAAATCTTACAGCATGCACCTGATTGGCAGCACCTGGGGCTAGCACAAACTCAAAACAAGAATCAATAGAGAAAAAAAAGCTGTTTGACAGAAGTGATTTGGCAAACTTTTCATGCACGCAACCAACATACTCAGTTCTACTGTCCTACAAATGCATGTTCCTTATAAATGTTGCACCGTTTAAAAGGAAAATTAACAGGCTTTCAAACTGTATAAGATTTATTGCCAAGAAGCAACAAAGAAATTATTTACTATTTACAATTCCTTACTTTTGTGTTAAGTTCATAGATGTCCTGTCCTGTGAACATTCAAAGGTACTTTTCTTAAAAAGTACAAATTAATTATTTAATTTTACATTACAACATGGGATAGTTGAAGGCAAGTTCCTTTTTTAGGCTACAAAACAGTTTTAACTTAAAGCTAAAAGCCTGTTCCAAAGCTGAAAGATATTAGCTCTTATTGTAACTGTGCATATAAACAAAATTTTATATTCTTAACAAACTGTTCAGCTGAGCTTTACATGACTGTCAATAGTGCATTAAACAGTTGTTTCTGCAGAAATATATTATTACCATAATTGTATTTCTGTGACTTCGGAGACAAACGCTCTAAGAGGGCATTTCCAACTTTATGCTCTTCAAACACTAAATCAAATTTAAAAAGAAAAAGGTCACTGTCCTGATATTGGTATTGATGCTTTTTCTTGTGTAAGTTTTTGTTGTTTTATTTTTATACACTATTGATGAACATTACCATTACAGCAAAATGTCAAAGTTTTGTCAAAGTTAAATTACAAAGTAATCATCTTGGCACAACTTCAAAGGAGAAACACAGACATATAATCTGTATGAGTAGAATTTAATCAGTATTCCAGATTTATGAACTATTCCAGGACTGCTGCATTGTGCAGTCAGATTCACTGTCAGTATAACAGCTCACTAGAGCAATAAAAACAGCTTGAGTTTTTCTTACCTTCACTTTTTGCATTTACAACAAAAATACTCATTTCATAAATGGTCTACTGACAAAAATGCATCATGGAAATTTGGAGTTTAATGATCCAAAGAGCCTATTTATTGGGCAAGAAGACACAGGACTAGTAGTTCTGTATGGCAAAAGTGAAATGAACTCGAGAGACAAAAAAGCAAACAAGCCATGATGCAAAGCAACCAAAACAAAATTCAAAATACCAAAAGATTTCTGCAGAAAGAATTCAAACCAAACACCAATAAGTGCTATATGAATAAAATGAGACATATGTCAACTACAAAATAAGAAACAAAACAACTGGGTAGATAGATAGATGACCTTATTAGTCCCAGAGATAAATTTTGTTGTCATGGCATCATCCAGGTAATTACTTATAAATACAGCAGTGTGAAAAAAGCAGCAAGGATGAAATGCATTTTAAAATGACAAAAAAACAAGAGCAATCATCCATCCATTATCTTTTAACCACTTCTTCCTTTCACGGTCACGGGGGTCACTGGTGCCCATATCCAGTCACTGTGTGAGGGGCGGGGGACTCCTTGAACAGACCCCGAGTCCATGTGCAGTCATGCAAAAATACAAATAAACAGGTAAAATACAATGTAAAGTATGCCACGAAATGGCATTATTAATAATATTGTTACTATAACAACAAATGTATCCTCTACTACCAGTACTAATATACTCATAGTAGCAATAATATTAAAATCAATACAGAAAAAAGTGGGGTTTCATTATAATAAAAAAATCTGCAGGTTTTTAAGTGTTGGTATCTGAATTAATGAGATTTTCCAGAGATTGTGTGTGTGTGTGTGTGTGTGTGTGTGTGTGTGTGTGTGTGTGTGTG